GGAAAACTTTGACAAATGAATGACTTAATCAATCATTAATGATAACAGTGATTGGAACCATTTCTAAGGGCCTTCCACACACCAGTTACTGCACTAACTATAATGATGCTGCTGATGATAATAATATCAGCTGGTGATGACAGCTAGCATGATTGAGCCCTCATTAAGTGCAAAAACGACAGCCATCACTTATGGAGCACTCCCTGTGTGTCAGCCACGGCATAATGTCATTTGCCCCTTACAGCAATTCGATGAGGTCGAGGTAATTATTATTCCCATTGTACAGATGAGCAATTGACAAATGAGGTCCAGAGAGATCAATAATGTGTCCCACAGCTGGAAAGGAAAAGGCAACACTGGGGTTCAAGCTCAGGGACTCCACTGCAGAGCAGATGTGCTTAGCCACCACATGACAGTGCTGCTTCCCTATGCTACTAAAGAGGACCCCACCACAAAATATGGCACTCGGGGTGTGTACCTCCTATGGGAATCAGTGGAGCCCCAAGGAGCAGGGGGCAGGATCAGGTGAGCTGCACTTACCCGGGGCACTGGCGACGTCTGGGTGCCTTTTCGGGGCCCACTGGTCTCTGGCGTGAGGTCACGGTGGTCTACCTGCATGTGGCTCTCCAGGTCCTCGGCACTCTCGAACTTGACGCTGCACTCGGGGCAGCGAAGGCCAGCACAGGGTCGGTCTGCGGGCTCGGGTGGGGCCAGGCCACCCACCTGTCCATTGGCACTGCGGGCCATGCACCCAGCGCAGAGGCCATAGGGGAGCCCATTGACATCAAGCTTCACCAGGTCCTGCTTGCTGCGGAACTCCTTGAGGCATAGGGCACACTTGTAGAGCTTCTGCAGCCCCTGGCCATTGGGGGAGGATGCAGCCGAGCTGCCTGCCAGCTTCTGCATGTGGAAGGTGCCGTGGATCTTGAGCTCGAGCGTGGATGTGACCGTCTGCATGCAGACCACACAGCGGAAGCCTGTGAGTGAGTTGCGCAGGTCAGGGTGCATCTGGCAGTGCTCAATAAACTCCTCCTCACTCTGCAGGGGCATCTTGCAGATGCGACAGGTGCCCGTGTCCAGGCTCTTGCTGTGGGTCACCTTGTGCTCAGTGAGTGTCAGCAGCGAGGGGAAGCGCTCGCCGCAGATGGGACACATGTAGTGCTTGGCAGGGCCCCGGTGTGTCTGCAGGTGCTCCCGCAGCCCGTTCTCTGAGAAGAAAGTCCGTGAGCAGACGTTGCACTTGTGACTGCCCTTGATGAACTCAGCCTTCTTGCGTGAGCCGTCGTCCTCGCCTGGCCGGATGTTGTGGTCCCGCAGCCGGTGGTTCTGCAGCAGCACCTCCATGGTGTAGGCTGCCCCACAGATGTCACAGCCGTACATGGGCTCTGACGCATCCACATCATCCTCACTTGCCTCGTGGCTGTTGGGAGCCTCGGGATTCTTAAGCAGCATGCCCTGCAGGTCAGCAGGCTCGGCCTTCTTGCTGGCTGCTGGGGGCACCCCGTTAGCCGTGCCATTCTCGGTGGTGGCATCAAACACACAGTGCTTCTCCCGCAGGTGCTTCTCCAGCAGGATGATAGCATGGAAGGCCTTGCTGCAGAACTTGCAGTTGTATTTCTTGCTGTGCGTGGTGATGTGGCACTGCAGCTCCACCTCTGTGCTGAAGGTCTCCCCACAGAAGATGCACTTGTGTGCCTTGGCTGGGTTGCCCAGGTGACTGTGTTTGACATGCACCTGCAGGTCAGCCTCTTTGCGGAAGTCCCAGTTGCAGGCTGTGCAACGGTACATCTTCTTCTCATTGCTGTGCTTCACCGCCAAGTGCACCTGGATGGACACCTTGGAGTCAAAGACCTCTTGACACAGGGTGCAGTGGTACAGCACAAAGGTGTGCATGTCCAGCAGGTGCTTCTGCAGGTCGTCCACCGAGGAGAACTGCTTGTCACAGCTCTCACACACATAGTGGGTCGACGTGGTCATGTAATGCACTGTCAAGTGCTGCAGGAGGGACTCCTGGGAGTCAAAGTCCTCTTTGCACTGTGGGCATGCCTGCTTCCGTAGCAGCAGCTCCAGGTGCAGCTTCAGGTGGGTCTGGAAGCTCTCAAAGTTGGAGAACTTGAGGTCGCACTGATTACAGGGATACTCGCCATTGGAGATGGAGTTGGCACTCGCTGAGAGCCGCTGCCGCTTCGGAGAAGACACCTCAACATCAGATGAGACTGGGCTCTGCTCTGCCTTGGACTTCTTGCTGTGGGCCAGCGGAATGTTTTTATGGTTCTCCTTGATGTGCTTGGTGAGCTTCAGGATGGAGCCGAAGATGGGCGAGTTGGTGCAGTAAGGGCAGGAATAGACCTCCATGAAGGACTGCGTGGGCTGCACGACCGGAGACTCCAGTTTGGCACTGCCCACACTGCAGTGGGCCTGCTGGATGTGCTCGGTGAGGGAGGACTCAGTCAGGAAGCCCATGGAGCACTGGTTGCAGAAGAAGGCGTTATTGCCATCCGGTGGGTTGTTGTTGGGACCACAGTGGGAGACGCGTATGTGCTCCTGCAGGCTGTTGATGTCGGCGAACATCTCAGGGCAGTAGTTGCAGTGGAAGGCGGAGATGTTGCTGAACTGCATCACAGGGTAGGCGTGGTTCTTGTGCAGCTTGCGGACATGCTCATTGAGGTTGTAGAGAGTGGGCATGGCGTCCAGGCAGATTTGGCACGTGTGGCTCTGCTGGGGCTTATCTGCATGGATGGTCTTCAGGTGAATCTCCAACACGGCCAGGCTGTTAAAGTCCCGCTTAGAACAATAGGGGCAGCTGTAGACCACCTTGGCCCAGCCCTGCCCATCATCCCGCATCTTTTTCTGCCCCCTCAGTGGCTTCAGGGTGGAGTCCGGGGTGGAGCCACGCTCCACGGAGGCGCTAGAATCAGGTGTGGCACTGCTCATGGAGGCCACACTGCCCAGCACGGGATCAGGACTGACACTGTGGTTGCTGGAGTCGGGCTGCCGGTGGCTGTCCAGGTGGCAATAGACACCCTCCACTGAGGAGAACTGCTCAGGGCACATGGGGCACTTGTGTTTCTGGTTGGCGTGGGCTTGGTGGATGTGGGCAAGCAGCGTGTTCTCGTCAACGAAGACCTCTGGGCAGTGGATACACTGCAGGTCTGCCTTCTCAGAGAGCTGGGGGTGGCGGGTGAGCACGTGTTTCTCCAGCTCCTCTGTCTGGCTGAAGGTGTCCTCGCAGTAGTCGCACATGAAGTCGTCCTTCTTGGCTTCCTTCTCTGACTTGGCCAGATGCTCCTTGTTCTTCTTGTGGGCTTGCATGTGGCTCTGCAGCGAGCTGGTGGAGGAGAAGCCGCGCTTGCAGACAGTGCACTTGAAGGGCTTGCTGGAGCTGTGGGTCTTCAGGTGGATCTTGAGGTGGTCGCTGCGGGAGAAGGCAGCTTCACACTCGTGACAGTGGTACTTCTTGTCACCTGTGTGCAGCTTGATGTGCCGGTCGTTGCTGGAGCTGTGGGTCTTCAGGTGGATCTTGAGGTGGTCGCTGCGGGAGAAGGCAGCTTCGCACTCGTGACAGTGGTACTTCTTGTCACCTGTGTGCAGCTTGATGTGCCGGTCACGGCTCCTCTTGTGCTTGAAGAGGCGGCTGCAGTAGGTGCACTTGAACGGCAGCTTGTCGCTGTGGATCTGCTCGTGCCTCTTCAAGTAGCTCAGGCGGATGAAGGACTTGTCGCAGAACTGGCAAGGGTACGGCAGGCCTGTGCCCCCTTCCTCCTCACCGAGGCCGAGGTCACAACCATCTCCGATCATCTGCGTGGGTGACGCAACATCCTTGCTGGAGGGAGACGAGGCCACCCAGGAGAGTTGTGGATCGTCATCACCATCTGCAGGGGAAAGGCAGAGAGGAGATTAGAGGCAATTCCCAGTGCTGCCAAGAAACAAGGACAGAGCCAGCTTCTCGACAGCTCACGGGCTGAGGCTGTGCAGCTGTCCAACTGCTGCAGGGCGAGTCAGCGGGGAGGGACCGGGGGGCCGGAAGCAAGTGGACATGAGGACCTTCCCATCTGCAGAGGATGCGGCAGAGGGGCGGCAGGATATGGAGGGGAAATGCCTTTTCCCTCCGCAACACCTGCCTGGGCCTGGTTGGGGGTGGTACCCCCCCACTGGAGGTGAGGCTCTCGGCCATGTCCCTGCTGGGGCGAGGAGGGGCATCCTGGACAAAGTCCCTGGAAATGACCTCACAGACCATTAGTCCCATAGGCCAGAAGGAGGACAAGTCCCATCACCTGATCAACACCTGGAAGTCAATTCCCCTCTAACCCCTAAACCTGGAGAGGGAAATCCATTGATTCTTACAGGAATGGACAACATTTTGCATGGAAAAAAAATACCTTTTACTTAATCAGCTCTATCCTATCCTTTGGGGATGGAGGGACTGATGAAGCTGGAAACTGCTGTCTCAGGTAGTAGACAAGACATAATAGGTGTGAAATCACAGGGCATATGACATCACTGTACACTCAGATGGGAAGTAAGCCAAGGGCACTGAAGAAGTGCCTGTGGGTTTCCCAGCCCAGACCATCCACATGGGGGTTGTTTTCCTTGTTTCCTCTCCACCCTTGGATTCACCCCAAGCCTACCTGGGACCCTGGGAGATGGTGATGGTGATTACAGGATGGATCAAGATCCAGATGCACACAGATCTCAGAACCAGGTGGGCCCTTAACTCCACCAGGAAGGCCAGGAAGAGGCTCTCCTGCACAGACTTCAGGATGCCCCACCCTCCCCATGGACAGGACCTTGCCCCCCACCCTGACCTTCACTGTCCAGCCTCAGAGGAAAACTAAACAAGCCTAAGAGCTGGCTGTTTCTGGGAAAACAAAGGCACTCAGGACGCAGCAAAAGAAGCCAGTAAAGTTCCCCGGCAGGGTTCGAAGGAAGCCAGCCCGAGTAGGGAGTGAGTTCCGAGGCTCAAGTTTCTGGTCGGGTGGATTTAAAACTTAATAATGAATGAAACAGACCGCAGGCTGCTGTGGGTAGGGGAGAGACAAACAAAAGCTCAGATTCGGCTGTGCTGACCTTGCTCTTGTAACCCCGAGGAAAGAAACCACTGCCTCCGCCTCTCCAGCCCCAGCCAGCCCGGTTTAGTCTTCAGAAAAGCCTCATAGACGTAACCCAGATGTAACCTTGGCCGAGACGCAGCCAGTCCTTCAGGAAGGGAAGGGGCAGGTGCACCACATTCCCAGCACGGGTGAGCACCAGCACACACACTAACATGTGTGTACACACACGTGCTCCCACAACCCACACACACACTTAAAGATGTACACACTCACAACATACTCTCACACACACATCCATTCACACTTTCTCTCCCACACACTCACACTAACACTCACACTAACAAACATACATGCACACAGTAATATACACGCACTCATCCATACACTCACACGCACACCATCACATTCGATATAACTATTGAACAAAAGCATTATTTTGCCAATAACAACAATTAGAACTAATTAGTACCACTAGGGTTAATATTAGCAGCTACATTTATTGAGCATATCTCAGATGCCAGCACCATACTAAGTATGTCTATTGTTGCAATTAAGTACTTCTAATCTGTGCAACAACCATATTTGGTTCTCCAGTAACACCCCATTTTTGACGTGAGAAAGCTGAGGTTCAGGGAGGTGAGAAACTTGCCCCCTGTACACAGCACAGCCAGATGCCCCAGTGGTGTTTGGCCAGATTGTATCTCCTAGTAGTGTGGGACCCAATCCCCAGGCCCTACACCAGTCATTCACCCACCAGGCTTTGAAAAGGGGAATCTTAACCTGCCCAGCTCCAAAGTACCCAAGTTTCATTGCGGGACTGGCTGATTGGCTTTATTTTTCTGCAAACAAGTTTCAAAACTAAAGCAAAGCATATCATTCTAGGAGCAACAAACTGAGCAACTGCTGAGATTATAATCATCTGAATTGAAATGAAAATAAGGCTCCTGAAACTGAAAAGGCCCAATCAGGGGGAATGGGCATGTTGACATATAAAGTCCCAAACTCCGATTGCCCTGTTTAAAGCCTTTTATTCAAATAACATTCAACCGTGGCTGCTGCCATCCCACCCACTCCATGCATTTGGCTTTGGGGGCACTTAGCTACGTGCTCTAGAAGCGGGCTAGAGAGATGAGCTGGGGCTGGAGCTGAGGAGGTATTTGCAGGGGTGTCAGTGGAGGAAGAGGTTCCTTTTCTTACAGCAATAACCTTCTCCTCACGCTGACGGGTAGACACCATGGCAGCACACGCCCTCTGGCAGATGTGCAGAAAGGGAAGCGAGGGGTGCAAACGATGTGAAGGCAATCCCAAGGTCCCCTTTGACCCAAACATTCCAGAATTCAGAGAGAAGACAGGTTCAAGGAAAGTCCTGCTCAACCAGCTACCTTTTTGTTTTCAAGTAAATACTTGTATAGATTCTAATAAGTGCCAGGCATTCTCCTAAGAGTTTACATTCAATCCTCTCAACAGCCCAGTGAGATAGGTAATATTATTATAATTTCCATTTACAGCTGAGAAAACCAGGGCACAGAGAGGCTGAGTAACTTGCCCAATGCCACACAGCTAGTAGGCAGTACAGCCAGGTTATAAACCCACTTAGCCCTATTCAGTCGGTGCTCTCGCCCAAAACACTACACTGCCTCCCACCTTTGGGCAGAGGGGCTGCCACATGAGAAAATCAAGTGGGGGGTACAGTGACTAATGCCAGACCCTTGGTTTCCCCCTCCCTGCAGAATAAGTACAATCAAAGAAATGTAAGAAAATGAGTAGAAAAATCACTTTCAAAACAGAGATTAAAGTCATTTAAAAATGATTAATCCTGCAAAAAGACCTGGTAGGAAATGGGTTATATGAGGCTTTTACCGTCTGCTGCAGAAAGAGAACCAAAACAAGAATAAAAGGGGGAGAAATTTTGATAAAAATTCAATTAAGAAAGAACATTAACTGGGCTTCAGAATACGTCAGTGGCAGAAAGAGCCAGATGGATCCGAAGCTCACATGGTCACACACAGTGACACTGCAGGACAGGACGTGAATTCAGCAGGCTGATGCTGCAGCAGTCCAGAGAGCCTTGGTTGCACCTTACCTGGGCGAAGCAGCGTGAAGCAGCCACCCAGGAGGGCTGGGAGGCACAGCTCACGGCTCCTTCTGTCCCAGAGAATCAAGGTCAGAGTGCCAGAGGAGGTGCTCCGACCTAGGAGGGACAGTGGCTAGCCCACATACCACAGGAGTGAGCCAAAAGGGGGACCTTCCTGCAATGGGAGGGTGGGGGGAGGAATGGGAGGCCGCTTGTAGGCACAGACTGAGGAGGAAGTGAACCCCCTATCACCGAAGCCATGCAGCCCTGAATAACACTGGAGGGCTCCCTCCATTGGGTGGGAGGGTGAAGACAGCTGAGGCCCAGGAAGTTCCATGTTTCTAGAACATTCCTGGTCTGGGCAGTTCCATCTGTGTGAAGAAAAATGACCATCAGGGCCGGCCCGGTGGCGCACTGCTATAGTGTGCTGCTTGGGAGAGTGGAGGCGCTCCCGCCGAGGGTTCGGATCCCACATACAGACCGGTTCCCGCTCACTGGCTGAGCGCGGCGCGGGAGCAACACCGAGGGTTGCGATCCCGTTGCCGGTCCTGGTCTGGTACGGGGGCGACACTGAGGGTTGCGATCCGTTGCCGGACACGGAAAAAGACAAAAAGGAAAAAAAAAAAAAAAGAAAAATGACCATCAGCTTCCAGAGGGGACAAGAGCTGAGCCAGCCTCAGGAGTGAAGCTTCCATCCAAGTTCACAAGTGTCTCCTGTGTCTGGGATTGTGCTGGATGCTGTGGGGTCACTCAAGTGCATCCCACGTTGGCCCCGCCCCACAGACATTCCAGATCATGCAAAGGAGAGGCCAGCTTAAAGAAAGGTGCCTGTGGGAGATGTGCTAGGAGGGCTGGACAGTCTATCAGGAGGCCTGGGCCTTAGCTGCCTCGGCTCTCACATGGGAAGCTGGAATTCATGCTGTCCTAGGTCTCTTCCAGATGAATATAAAGATCATCTTGCAAAGTACCCAGCCATCCAGATTGTCTTCATGAGAGTTACAAAAAGGCCTGACAATTCTTCATTAAGCCCCAGAAGGTTTCCTTGCAACTCATCTGGTTTTTTGGAAAAATGAAAATTGCCAAGGAGACAAGTCTCCCGTAGGACAAAGTTCTGGAGTGCACCAGATAGAGCCTCCCCTCTCCCCTCATCCAGAGCTCCAGGAATGGGAATCACTGTGGCCCTTGCCCAAGCTCAGAGAAATGGGACCCTAGACTCAGGAACCATCTACTCCAATCCCACATGATACGGAGAAGCTGAGGCCCAGAGAGAGGACAGAACTTACAGAGGTAGCAAATTGGTAGTGGTTGCCTAGAGCACTGTATTCAGAAAAATTCTGAGGACAGGTCCGGGCTTAGAAGAAATGAGTGCTGAAATCAACTGGTGATGTCTGCCATGAGCAGAGGCATGTGGGAATGGAATGGTCAAAGGACACTGAGCAAATTGGTGGAAGGAGTCTCCTGACTCCCTGTGCTAGAGAAGGAGCTTTTAACCATCAGGTTTCCTCCTCCAAGAAAGGAGCTACCCAGCCTCTCTGAGATATGAGGCTTTGGGGCAGGATCCCCACAAACAGGACTTGGCAGGTACTGTGGAGCTGTGTTGTGGTCTGGAAAGGAGTCTGCAGCCAGAGAGGTCGGCTCCAACCCCAGCCAACTGTCAGGCCTGTCCAAAGTGGGCACAAAGCAGGCTGGGCATCCCAGGAGGGCAGAGCAATCTCCTGCAGAGCCCCAGGTGATAAGAGCTG